AAATGCCAACGCCTGTAAGTTTACGTGCCAACCACCATAATCACGCGCACTGCGAAGCCCAGGTATACCTCTGGCATGTGTGTGGCTTCACTTTAACCAATCATGCCTGAATACGTGTGTGGAGCACGACTAGGCAACCGCCAAATCGCACGCAATCTGCGCCACACCCAAGCGTTCCCTTATAGTTCATGTTTTAAATTTGTCTGATATGCTATTGGTTGATTTGAGATTGATCACTCAAGTAGTGGGGTGCGCTTTGGAGTGTCTTCGCCGAATTGGGTGATATGTGATTGTCTTAAGGACCATTCTAACGATGTATGGATGAATGTAATTTCCTTATGACTGTGTTTGAAAGCATTATGGATGCAGTAGATTTTGAAACGTTATAGAAGATTGCCCTACTCTGCCTCACTCATGTCCGTCCAACGAACTGGTTCCAAAAAGCCGAGTAAGCGACTTCGTAGTGAACAGGGTATCGGAATTAAGTCTCACGAAGCTTTCAGGTGGACCAGTAGTTAGAAGCAGCGGCGTAACATAAGGCGGAGTGGCGCTTCGCCCCGGGTGGCATGTGACAGGAGGCGGCATTTTTATTACCGTCGAATGTTCGATACCAAATATAGACCACGAATTATCCGGATAAGCAGTGTGGTAAATAGTTTGATGTTACTCTGTATGACCAACAACACATTTGCACCATGTGTCTTACCTGTGCAAATGTTCTTCCCAGCAATCCATTTAATTGTCCAAATGTGGTCACATTCACAACGTTCACCTCAGTGTTCCAAGCGATCATCCATTTCATCGAAAACCAATGCGCACTTTACCCTGAGCAGATTGTGTGGCCTTCACGCGCCTATTTCAGGAGAAAATTTTGTAAAACTATTTGTTGTGCCACTGAATGGAACACGCAAAGGACATCGTTATACTGAGTACTGAATACTGGTTCGAAGCAGCGAGTAGAGCTTTCTCTGTGTAGCTGCATCATTCGTCGCTCTTGGATATATGCTCGTTATGTTGTGTTCCGCTCTGTATATTTTGCTCACAAGTTTTGTCCAGGAACTTCTTAAATTCCGACACTGTGTTTGCCTCTACTATGTGCTGCGGCAGGTTGTTCCATACATTCACCAATCTGCGTTCGAAACATAGTTGGTGAGCGACCCACTTCAAATCCGGTACGACAAGTTTATACCGGTGTCCTCGCGTGCAGCTTGGTGTGCGCAGATGAAGCAGTTGTCTCAACATGGGGTAGTCACTCAGATGTAATATCCGGTGCGTCATGATGAGGTCAACCCTCAGTCGACGATAAGCTAGGGTGCACAACCCTAGTTTCTTACATCGGTCTTCGTATGGCACACCACGTAAGTTGGGAATCAGCCTGGTGGCTACATGCTGCACTCGCGCAAGCTTTTCTACCTCGCCCCGGGTGATGGGACAATACGCGGGAGGGCCGTACTCTAGCATTGGTCGTATTATCGAGACGAAGAGACGAGTGGCAATCTCTTCGGACCAAGTGCTGAAGCTGCGCCTGAGCGCCCAAAGCATCCGAAGGCTGTTTTGGTACAGCCTATTCGTGTTGTCAATGGACTTTAGGTCTTATCGTAGGAGTACACCGAGGTCGCGCACGAAATATGCGGGATGCAGCGGTCGACCAGCCACCGTGTAGGTTCGGCTGTGCTCACACTTACCCAGCCTCATGAATGGCGACTTGACCGGATTGATTGGGAGGTTGACCTCTGCAGACCACGTGGAGAGGCGGTCGAGATCCTGCTGAAGCAAATCACAATCATTGGGTGTGCGGATTATTCTCAACACCTTTAAGTCATCTGCGAACGACGCACAAGGTGACTGGAGTAGCTGAGGCACATCGTTTACATGGATCAGAAACAAAATCGACCTCAGTACAGTGCCTCGGGACACGCCACTGCTCAATGGATACCAATCGGTTAAATGGTTGTCCACCTAGGCCCTCCACTTTCGATCAACAAGGAAATTCCTGATCCATTGGTGTAACTAGCCACCAACACCGCACACCCTCAGCCTGTCGCGGAGCACTGCATGATTTACCTTGTCAAAAGCCATACTGAAGTCAATGTAAATGACGTCGACTGATTGGCCTTGGTTCAGCGCTTATAACCATTCGTGCCTCGTCAACAGTAGGTTGGTGATGCACGAGCGACCTTTCATGAAACCATGTTGGGCCGAGGTCAATAGGCTTTTCGACTCGAGAAGCTGCAGAAGGCTCTTCTTCCTGATCTTCCCGAGCGTCTTTGCCAAAACTGCGGTCAGGCAGATCGGCCGGTAGTTATCCACTTTGCATGGGTTACCACCTTTCGGTATGGGCTTTACGACTGAGCATTTCCAGTCGTCCGGTAATATTCCAGTGGATAGGGACCTGTTGAACAGCTCAGTTAGAGAAGGCGACATGATGGCCGATAGGGACTTGAGGATCAGTGGGTGGATACCATCTGGCCCAGCAGGCTTCGTCCCGTCAAGATTTGTTAGAAGCTTGCGTACATCCTCAATATTGCAATCCAGGCTGTCATGTTCAATTGGAGCGGTACTCGTCGAACTCGTTACATACACCTGGTCACTTGCAAATACGGAGGCGAAGTGCGCCGCTAAAGCGGACGCACGATCTGTACTCGAAGTTAGAGGCTGTCCATCTGAGCCTTCTAACACTAGGACATTGGCTACAGGCCTTAGGCACCGCTTCACGGATGCGAAGATCCGCTTGGGAGCAGTTTTTGCGGCGGTTGCAAGCTCCTCTTCGAGGCTTCTGCGTTTTCTTGTTTTCGCGTTGTTGCAGCGATTTCGCTGTACCTTATATGTATTGTAGTCCTCATCAGAGCCAGATAACACGAATTTGTTCAATAGTCTGCGTCGCCGTCGGGCCAGTTTGTTGTACTCTTTGTCGAAGCAATGTGGTTTGACTGGCCCAACTTTCCGAAATTTGAGGGGCACAAATCGGGCTCAAAGCGATTTCATTCCCTCTTTAATGATAGTACAACAGGTTTCAATAGATGAATCCTGTGGTAAAGACTAGTCTACCTGGCTCATTGCTGGAATGAGGTCATTAAAGTCCGCCTTCCAATGGTTGAAGGCTGGCTCCAGTGGGGGAGAATATGGCAGCAGTAGTTCCAAGCTGCCTATGATCATCGAGTGGTCGCTCGCTCCCAGAGGCTCTAAGACTTAAACGTTATGCACACGCTGCTCACAGCTAGTCAAAAGCAGATCTAAACACGATGGAGTCGCGCGCGCAGTAATGCGTGTCAGTTGGTTGATGTGCTGTGTGGCCCCGATTTCAACTAGCAACTCCGTAAACTTCCTCTCGACTTCACAGTGGCCGGGGAGAACTTCAGCTTCAGGCCACTGTATTCGGGGCAAGTTGAAATCGCCCATGAGTAGCAATATCTGACGACTCATGTGGTTGCGGACATGCGGCAACCAGTCCAAACAGCGGCTCAATGGACTGCGATATACCACGCCCACCAGCAACTCGCAGCGTCTGAGGTGAATCGAACACTGTAACTGCTCACATAGACCATCAGCGCTTTGGTCGGCGCTCACCAGTCTCCCACACAAGGAAGACTTTATGTAACGTAGAACGCGACCGCGATCATTTGATGGTCTATTAGAGCGGAAGCATGAGTAGCCGGTGATTTTCACTTCTTGGGCGGTTACTTCGGTTAAGTTTGTGCTTCTACGCAAGCCACCTGAAATTTACTGTATAGTTTCGTGATGTATGTCTCACAATTCGGAATGACTTGTGTTCCGTCGAAGCGTAAGGCTTGCTTCCTGAAACATTAACACCTCTGTTGCAGGATGATCTTTAGAACTATCGGAGGCTCGTCATTTGTGAGAGCCATATACCATAGAACAATATCGTCCGTATATTTACGTCTAGTGAATGTGATAGGTGTAACAAAACTTTTAGCACAGAATATAAATATAATATATAAAAGGATCGCTCCCTGTAGAAAGCAACATTCGACAGGGAGCATCGAGGAATTTGGACATGTTAATCTGGCGGTATGAGTGGGATCAGTAAGGCAGCCACACAACAGATTATTCATATCTGAGTGGAATACGTTTCCAAAAACAACACTACATAGAGTTGATCTACTACTGCTTTCGAAGGTACTAAGTAGTAATGCTTGGTGGATGCCACTGAGTAGAGTGTTGATCGATGAGGCCCTTGACCGAACTCACAAGCATCATCGGTAGGAGCTGGGAATAAGCAGATGTTAGAAGACTTTGAACAGCACGAATTCACACCCAGCAGGCGATGTCCACAAGATACTGGTGTTACGACAGTACCGTAGCATCAGCAATGGTTCCGTTCGCTGACGGATTTTCAAAACTGACAGACTGTGCCGACCGTTGGGGCTACAGAATTTCAGCCCACAAGCTTCGGGAGTCTGGGCCCTTGCTTCGCTTAACTACACAACGGTTATCTCACCATGCTCTCACTGGAGGCGAAACCTTGGTGGCAAATGCTTGATTTGGTCTCTAAATGTCAGGTGGCCAACTTTAATGTTACCCGCGTCCCGAATCTTGGACTCAGGCAGCACGAACCACAGTCGGTTGAGGACATATTGCAAGATTCCTTCCCATGAATGTCGTTTTCATTTCTATCTACTGTTTCCCCGCTATATTGTGATGTCCTCATTTCCATCGTGGGATAGAACATGTTGCCCGTATTTTAACAGGATACAAGCTAGTGGGTTTTAGCGAATAGAAATAGATAAACCAACGGCAGGGTCGGCAGTCTGGTCAAATACTATCGATTCGGTGTTGGGAACTCTTAGTAGTCGTATGAGATTGTGTCTACGGAAAGTGACACCACAACTTAGTGTAATGGCCCTAAAGTGCTTAGCTTCGACAACCCATGGCACACTGGGTGCATCCGAACCTATTGAGTATGGTCATTGTTCAGTCACAGAGAACTCCACTAGTGAACTCACCCAAAAACTCCGCCTTCCCCTTCTCTGCCTTCACAGTCCTCGAATCCGTCGAGCCCAAGTACACCAACGTCACTGTTCCGGAGGTACTTCACTTCTTCGGTGACCATGTCAAACATCCCAATCAGTGTGAGTCCGTGCTTGGAAGAGGCTGGTAATCATAACCCATTGGATGCGAAATTGATGATTCTTACATGATCTGCGTGTGGCTTGTGTTCCATTATTTTGGTAAATTAGTCAATTCATCGTTGTTTAAATCGATTTTTGTTGGCAATTGCTGTGGTCCGTTGGCACATTGTTCAAATAATTTAGTGCCACTGACACGTTCATCGATATAACCGCCGCTCATCACCATACATACACGATAGCTGAGAGTTGGAAACGCACCTCGGCTAATGTGCCTCAGTGCACAAACAGTAATGTCAAACGTTCCAGATAGTAAAAACCAAAAAACAAGTAATGTAACCCTAAATATCATATTTCACATTTGGTATGAGATCGTTGTAGGAGAGGGGAAATAAAGCAGAGGGAAGGGACAAAGAGACTCACAACACAAACACCATTAAGGCCGGCTCTTCGCAACGTCAGCTAGTGTATCCAACCAAACGTGTTCATTCTCATTCGGTTCCCAGGCCGGCAGTCTGGAGACTCCAACCGACGCGCTTTGACGTGTGGGATTCTCTCCCTCTTGACCAGTGGTTCCCAATCTTTTTAAGGTCATTACCCACAAAGCGAGTTTAGTATAAGCAGTTGCCCCTAAACCTTCAAAAGCCAAGTACCTAATAACTATTGTTTTTGCTCCAAAATGTGGAAAGTGAATACCATGAGTAACTACTTTCGATCATGCAAGTAAAGAAAAACCTCATGTTTGCTCAATTTGTCATGAAATCGTGAGGTGATAAACAAACAGCTTCTGGCATATTTAATGCGGTTTCCACTAATGCATATCGCAAATCGTGTAGTGGTGCCTAATGAGTCTGAGAACAAGCACTCTTCTTTGAAGCCGTTGCCTTTTATGCACTGAACATAGACAAGTAGCTCGGAACATGACGTAACGTCGGTCCGCTCATCTAAGCGTAGTGCGAAGAAAGGACATGGATCGAAGTTTGTCTCCGAGTTACGTGACCCGCCGTATCCCCTTCGGCTTCGGCATTTGGATATGTTTTCTGTGGATTACCGCCGCCAGCGTGGGGACTTGATTTTTATCCGTCGTATCCTCAGGGGAGAACTAGGGAGAGAGTTGCAGGAATTCTTCCACCTCAACATCGGGAGTTCGACTAGAGGCCACCAATGGAAAATATTCAAGCCACGGAGGCTCAAAGTACGGTCCATTCTTGCTCTATCCACTCGCGTTGTGAATAATTGGAACCGGTTACCGCCGCCCGTCGTTGATGCACAGACGGAGGATTGCTTCAAACGACTACTTGATTCACACCTGTTGAATATGCCGGGATCGTGTTGCTTCAGCTACGAGTGCGATAGCCTCTCCGGAGTTCCCGTTGCGTAATGACGAGCATCCCAGCAATGATCGGGAAGCGATGGAGCTGACAAGGGATCTCCGCTCCTGCTCTCTACTACCCCAATGAACCCAATGAGCCCAATGATTTTGGTTCAGTAAGTACGGCGTCCAAACTATTCTTGCTCTTGTCCTGGATGCGACTTTGATGGTGCCGTTAGAAAGCGATGTCACACTTATATTTTCCGGTTTGCAGTAAACCAGCGGTTTTAACCTTTTTGAGGCTGTTTCTCACAAATCGGGTTTACTATAAACAAATTCCCCAAATTTCCTTTTCAAACACTAACTAACGAATAACTATCGCGCGTTTTGCTTTTAATTACAGTAAGTGATAGCTATTTGGAATTACTGTTGATCAATAAAAGAAAGAAAATAGTTAATTTGATGCAAAACATTGCAATCAAGCGGCGATATACCTCAACGAAACGGTTTATGTTGCTTAGCGATAACCATTTTTGGGCTATTTCGTACAATTTCGGCTAATGCGCATCGAAGATCGTGCTTCAAGTTCATTCAATTCCTTGCTTTTGTTATCACTGTCACCATTTTCGAAAATGCACTTTCACATCTATAAGTTGTTGTGAACGGGATCAATATTCTCAATGCTCTTTCCGAAAGCAATGGATACTCACCACCTCTCTTTGTCCAAAACGCTGCTAGCTGTGTGCTTTGGAAAACTATTTTCAATTCGCTAGCTTCGCGCATTCCTAGGAATTGTGCTTTGACATCGATTGCAGTATCTGGAAACATGTCTTCATCCCCTGAAAAGCGTCTTAGCGTCTAGCTACTTACTTGACGATTTTCCAAACCAAGCAAATATTTGCTGCAAGAATGCACCACTGATGAAAAGTGGCAAGTAATATCATCTGTGTATGTGCATCTTTCATTTCTTCCGACGAGCATCATTGTTAGTTCTTGAAACATCGACACGTCGTCAACCATAGCTCTGTGTTGGTAAAGCTGCAATTTTAGGAAAATAGGTTTCCGTTCCGCCGTCAGGACCAAAGGTGCTTCCCTGTTTCGCCCCATATTCGCATTAATAAAATTCTCTGGGTAGCCATTCTCTTTTAGTGTTGCTCGTATTAGTTGCAACTCTTCGAAAAGAGTATCCTTCGAGCAGATTCTTTCGGCCCGGTTCACGAGACTGAGGACCAAGTTTCTCTTAATCCGAAGCGGCACAAAGCTATGAAGGATACTCTTTTCGAAGAGTTGCAACTAATACGAGCAACACTAAAAGAGAATGGCTACCCAGAGAATTTTATTAATGCAAATATGGGGCGAAACAGGGAAGCACCTTTGGTCCTGACGGCGGAACGGAAACCTATTTTCCTACAACTGCCTTACAAAGGGGAAATGAAGCTGCAATTTGTCAAGAAAACTGGCATCTCTATCCTGAGCAGTTAAAATATTAGTCATATTCCATTGAAAGCTGAGGTTCAGCGCATTTATTTCTCCGAAGAAATCCTCAAGATATGCTAGTTTGGAAATAAATACCTTGTCTGTTCTCATAACGTGTAACCCGTTCCCTTTACCCTTATGCAGCTCCTGCGTTTCAAGAAACATTGCAATTGCTTCTCGAAGCTCGAGCAATCGGTAATAACCAACGCAATTTTGTGTGCAATAACACACATCGAATTTGCCTCCAAATAAATTACACAACTCTTTGAAAACTCATATAGGTCGCGCTACCGCGGATGTTACGTACTACTTTCATTACCTTGGTTAAGGCGTCTAGCAAAGCAGGTGGAAGAGTTTTCATTACTAAAGCATAACTATGTATGATGTGTAGTGGCTAAAGTTAGTGTGCGAAACTAATTTTCGACTTATGTTTGGAATCCAGTACGGACGCCCAACGTGGAGGCTGCTCTGTCTGTACAGACACCCAACAACTTCGACCACTGTAGATCGATTTCCTCGAAGAAATCCTTCACTGTTCCAAAGATAGCTTCGCCACGTGTAGTTATGCTCAATGATTCTGAGGACAAGCGCACCTCTTTGAAGCCGTTTCCTTTTATATACCTATTATAACGCCTGACTGTAATTGAACCCACTCAGAACGGGAAGCAAAAACACCAGCGTGCCAGACGAGCTGCATTCAAGAACTGACAAAGCTGAGCAACCGGGATGCAAAAGAACAATAGGCCAACCACATGAAAGGACATAGTCATGAATGGTGAACGGCCTAGCTCTGAACTACTGCCGTGCGCGTCGTGTCCAACATAATCACGTGACGAGACAGTCACGAATGTCAACCTATCTAGCTGTGGGCGAGTGTGAAGCGTAAGCCCATCTAACACCTCCCTCCTTTAAACTGAACAGAATAGCAAGTTACGTTTGATTGGGATGCTTTACGTCTTGGGTTCACCTCGTTGAGTATCTCCAATCTGTAGTTACCTTTGGACGGCAGTCTCTTCCGACCGGGTAACATGATACGTATCCAGCAAGGTGTCCAACGCTAGTGAAGCTTCCTGTTATTGGGACGTCCCTTATACATCAAAACACGGTCTAATATGACTTACATGTCTAGTCCATATGATGGAACCCAGTTGTATTCTGTACAAAACACTTGAAATTCGTTCAACGGTACGGCCAAGAATCCAGGATGATCTACGGTCACGGAAATTCTTTACGTACACACTATCACCAGGTACGCAATGCCGGGGACGTGTTCCATGATGGCGATTAAAAGCCAACTTCATTTTAACATTGCGTTCTCCCTTGTGTGGTGATGGCTTCAAAATAGCAAGGACCATACTGACAAGCCTACTGAGAAAAGTTTCTGATGGGGATATGTTTTGAGGTACTGCTGGACTTCGCGTCGTAAGGTAAATCTGTAAACATCTGTCGATAATTTCCCGGATATTCTCCTCTCCTTCCAGTTTAATTAACGCTCGCTTAAACGTATCGACAAAACGTTCAGCCTGCCTTTTCGACTGTGGATGGTAGGCTGGAGTGCGTATGTGTTCGATGCCAGGTGAGTTGCAAAAGTCAGCTAATTCTTGAGAAGTGAATTGGGAACCACTGTCCGAAACAATCGTTTCGGGAGCACCGAATTCTGAGATAAGATGGCGTAGGTGTAACAAAACGGTGGAAGTTGTTGCGTATCTTATATGAACAGTTTCAGGCCACTTTGAGTAAGCATAGACAATTACCAGATAGTGGAAACCCTACAATGGGCCGGCAAAATCAATCTGAATGCGAGACCATGGTCTACTTGAAGTCTGCCAAGAATGAAGCTCACGTTGGACAGGGAGTTTTGCTGCCATAGCGCAGCTGTTACAGGAACGAACCACATTTTCAATATCTTGGTCCATGAATGGCCAGTAAGCATAGCTGCGGGCTATGGATTTCATACGACTGATTCCCGCGTGACCGTGGAACTGACTGAGAACCTTCTGCTGTAGAACCTTAGGAATCACAACTCGGTAAGATAACATCAAGCAACCACCACTGGTGATTAAGGCGAACTTCGTTTTACAAAACTGCTCACCGTAGCCGCCCAAGGAAGGTGCAGGCAAACCAGTGCTAAGGTACCCCATAATACGTTGTAACAGGGGATCTTTTGATGTTTCTGTTTTAACTGCGTCTGCCGTTACTGGAAGTTGACGTGCAC